AAAAAAAAAAAAAAAAAAAAAAAAAAAAAGGGGCTTCATCATTGGAAAAACAAGAAAGATATTGGTATGTGGAGGTTTCTAGTCCAGCATATGGTTAATAATTGTTCAACATTCTCTTATAATAATTTACAATAATGTAAGTGTATCAGGAATTTAAAATTTAATCATTAAAAGTATGAGTTAAAATTTTGCAAAAAATTAATGATGTCTTTATTATTTTATAACACTTTACTTAAGACCACTCTGATAGAAGTACAACCAAGTTAACTGGCTTCAATTCTCTTCTTACTCCATGGGTACTGCTTTAAACTTGCTTCTCCTCCAACATATTTCCTAATAGCTGGTCAGTACAGTTGGGGTGTTACCTTCCATCTGTTGTAACAAATGTCCCACAGTAATGCAAAATGCTAATAACAGGGCAAAGTGGGGGGCGGGGAGAGGGGGTATGAGAACTTGTGGTACTTTGTATACAATTTCCCTGTCACTCTAAAACTACTCTAAATATAGTCTCTTATTAAAAATAAACAATGTATTGTCCAATTTTTATTCTTTCTAACAGTTTATTACCTTTAATTAAAAAAAAAAACTTTTTTGAGAGTCTAAGAGTCAGATTTTGTGTTTATCTCATGACAACACTGCTAAAGGATTTGATACACCTGTAGTCAAATTGTCAGTGTTTCTAATAGTTCTCAGGTCTATGGAGGTGAACTGGAATGGGAAATAGGCCATTCTTTTGTCATCATCAAAATCTTAGCAAAGTAGGTTAGAAGGTTTCCAGGCTTATTCACATGAGACTGTGTGGAATAGTTTTGGAGAAACTCATTTTCAAAGGGGCATTTCCCTCCTAAGAACAGTGGAATCAGACCTCAAGGAACTTTCCATTTCTGTGAATTTACTTGCTTATCTCTGCTCTTTTGTGGCAGCTCTCTTTGTCCAGACATTTCCTGCCTGCACAGCATTTAGAGATGTCAAAATTCTTTCATAACCTGCACAGCAAAGTAACTATTTCATTCCATGCTGACTTGCAGTACCACAAAGATAAAGAACAGATATTCCCTGGACCTATAGGAAGTTTCAAGATAAAGCCTGAGATGGCATGGCTTATGAATGGCACCCATGCCCAAGGCAGACTGAAAGAATAGCTTTGTGGTTGTAGAACTGAGCCAACTGGGACAAAATTCCTAGTTCGGTGATAATTTCTGTATTTTATTCTTTGGAATCAAAGCTGTCAAAAACAGTCTTTGCCAACAAGAGCCTATGGAAATTGCAATTCCAAACAATATGGGCTTGAGATATCATGGAATTCATTCAAGAGATTCAGCTAGGATACTCCCAGTAAAATACTAAAAGGTCATACCAATATTGGCCTATTTGGAATTGATGTTAGGAAACCTGACATTGGGACTGCAATAATCCTAAATCTTAACATAAGACCTGGAACCACAAGAGTTACCACAAAACCCCAAGACATGCAGGCACAAGATTGTTTCTCAAATGAAAAATAACGATGCAAATGAGGGAATCTACCACCATAGAACAGAACCAAAAGATGTAACAAATAGGAAAAAAAATCACACAAGAAGACATAAAAATAGTAATGTAATATGAGCATGATGTAAAAATAATGTGGTTTGGCATTCTCAAAGGAAATTAAGAAGGGACAAACATTTATGAAAGGAGAAGAAAACTAAGTAAGTAAAAAAAAAAAAGACAGATGGGAGAAAGAACTAATTGGAAGTCTTATGAAAAATAAACTATCTGAATGAAAAAAGGAAACCTTCAAAAGATGCAAGAAGCAGAATAGACACAACAGCTGTTAATTTTTATTTAAATGAGTGATTGTTTTTAACGCCTATTTGATGTCTCTTTATCTGGAAGAGACAAATTCTAAACCTGAAATGAGTGAATCAATGAATTTGTCTGTTTGAATCTTCCTTTCCAGTTTAGATGCCTTTTATTTCTTTTTCTTGTCTAACTGATCTGCGTTAAGACTTCCAATACTATGTTGAATAAGAGTGGTGAGAGCGAGCATCCTTGCATTGTTCCTGATCTTAGAGGGATAGTCTTCATTTTTTCACCATTTAGTATAATGTTTGCTGTGGGTTTGTCATATATGGCCTTTATTATGTTCAGGTACATTCCTTTTATACCCATTTTTTGACAGTTTTTACTATAAATGAGTATTGAATCTTAGATGCATTTTCTGCATCTATTGAGATGAACATATGGTTTCCATCCTTCATTTTGTTAACATGGTGAATCATTGTTTTATTTGTGAATATTGAATCATCCTTGCATCCCTGGAATAAATCCCACTTGATCATGATGTATGATCCTCTTAATGTATCGTTGTATTCAGTTTGCTAATATTTTTCTGAGGATTTTTGTATCTACGTTTATCAGAGATATTGGCCTGTAATTTTCTTTTTTTTTATGTTGTCCTTGTCTGGTC